AATACTAAAAATACTATACCCAGGTTTATAGAGAAGCGCTCTAGGGATAGTAGCAAGGATAGTAAAAATCCCTCCGTATTTCCTTGGACTTGTTAAATGAAGTCACAGGGTGCGGGTGAGAGAGACAGCTTTAATTTAGAGCGGGTCTTCAAAAAAGGGAATTTATATTTCATCATAGTAGAGGAAGGTTTTCTTTCCTTTACAGAATGGACTACATCCTTAGAGTAGACTACTCCTCTAGTGAGGAGTCCTGGAGTGCCGAGGAGGAGGCGGCTCCTCCAGAGGTGGAGATAGCTCCTCCAGAGGTGGAGGAAGGGACAGAGGGCCCTGAGAGGGAGGGGGATTGGTCAGAGTTCCCCTTCTATGGAGTGTCTGACACCATCCAAGGGATGGGAGAGGAGGCCAGTGAGCCTGAGGGGGAGGTCCTCGGTGAGGGGACCCAGGATCCCGAGGAGGAGCTGGCCTCCAGTGAGGAGGACGGGGGTGGAGCCCCAAGCCTGTGATCAGGATGGGCCCACCCCAGTTCATCCTGGATTTGCCCGTGGTCTCCGGGGTGGACCCTGTGGTCCCTGCTCCCAGGATCACTAGGACGGCGCCGGTCGAGACCGATCCGGAGTCGGTCCGACTGTTCCTGGGGTGGGGGGCCTTCAGGGCACCCCAGAGACCAGTGGAGGAGGCGGTTTAGGCAGCCGCGCCGATGCCTTTCCAGGGGGCCCCTTTTCCTCTCAATTCGGAGGAGAAAGAGGCACCGGGAAAGGACCGGAAGCCAAGGAGGAGGAGGAGGTCCGGAAGACGAAGGCGGTCAGCTGCCTCTGCGGCTCCCTCCACCTCCGGTCAACCTTCAGGACCCAGGCTGAACCTACAGCCGGGTCCGGAGGTAGGCGGTCAACCTCCTGAGCGGTTTTCTGCTCGGAGGCAAGTTTGGGAGGAGCCTTCCTGCCAGTTAGCTGGTAGGGGGCTAGCTTCCCTTACAGGGGAAAGGGGGTCTAGGGCCCAGTCCCTGGGACCCCTCCCCTACATTCCGGCCGGGCCAAGGGAGGGTTTGCACCTCTAGAGCGGTTCTCTGCTCGAGGCACAGCCTCCTCCGCCGAGAGGCGTCGTGTCCCTCAGCTGGCAAGCGAGCAAGGGGCATCGTCGTTCTCCGGCGAGCCGGCTAGGAACAAAGGGGTCAGGTACCGGACCTGTGACCTGTGCCCGGATGTTGACCGCCACCCTAGGCGTCACGCCCTCTCGGTACACCTCAATTTGTTGGTGAACGGGGAGGGCGGATGCCTAGACACCCTAATCATGAGGGCAGCCCCGAGGATGGCTGGGACCAATGGGTCAGGGGCCTGATGCGCATGCTCTGTGCACAGGCCCATGACTGCGGGGTCCCGGACGTCCTGGGTCTTCTTGCCCTTATTGTGGAGGGGAGGCATTACCCAGCGCGGGCTGTGGATGCCCCACGTCCCTTCTCCCCCAGAGAGACCTTGGTGGCGGAAGCCATCAACGACTTCCTGGGGGATGATGGGCCGGTGTCCCTCAGTCCGCCCCGGTCCGTTGGCAGCCTTCTTCACTGGAGGCTGCAAGTGGCTATCATGAGGCTTATCCCAAGAGAGCGGCGCCAGGGATACCTCGAGGCGCTTTTTGGTCCCCGGCTCGGGGGCTGCCCCAAGGACCGGCTCCGATCGGCCAACTAGTTCCTCGAAGGGCGGTGTTACTGCCCCAAGACCATCCGGCCGATCGGAGGAGGTAGGTTCTGCGCCGGCTATGTGCTCCTCTGTCGATGGCGGTGACTCTGCCTCCAGAGGACCAGGTCGCCTGTGTGCCCCCCACCGGTGGCAGTCTATGACTGCCACTTCCATCTGGATGCTCTGCTAGCGAGAGGCAGGGCAACCTCCTTCGCTGGCTTAGCGGCTCAGGAGGAAGGTGGGGACGTAGTCCTTCTGGGCGGGGTGGTCAACTATGCCTACCCCGACAGCTGGTCTAGGCGCCAGGGCCAGGTGGCTGGTGACCCTAGGGTCAAGGTGGCCATTGGCCTGCACCCTCATAAAGAGGGGGAGGGGACGCCACCATATGGCTTTCCTGCAGCAGCTGCGGGACCCGGCCTGAACAGCAATAGGGGAGGTAGGCATCGACCTGACCTCCAATTGTAGCTGTGCGGGCCAGTGCCCCAAACCTGCAGAATGCCGGCAGCAGGTCACCAGGGATCAGGTCACCACCTTGACCACTGTCCTGCAAGGGGCTGTGGTTGAGGGTGGTGGCCGACCGGTGATCATTCACTGCAAAGATGGGGGCAGTGGCCGGGCAGCGCAGGAGGCCCTCGGATGTTTCCGAAGGGTGCCAGGGGCCTCCACGCTGGCGGTGCATTGGCACTGTTACACTGGGTCTGTGGAGGATATTGAGGCTTGGCGGCAGCTGCTGCCGAACCTCCATATCGGGGTGACGGCTCTATCTCTAAGAGCCCCCTCCACGCGACTGGCCCTGGGAGGCATTGACCCTAGCAGATTACTGCTAGAGTCGGATACCCCCTACCTGGTGCCTACGGGAGCCGGGGTTGGAATTAACAGCCCCTGGCTCCTAAGGCACACACTGGAGGAATTGGCCTCGCTCAGGGGAGATAACTTGTACCTCCTGGCGAGCCAACTCAATGCCAATGCCAGGGGGTTCTACTCTTTCGAGTAAGGGACCTCCTGGCATAGCCAACTGTCGCCACTAGTAGTGTGGCACGACTGTAGTGTGGGGAGGGATTACCTCCCCACCAGCTTACTCCCGAACTCCGTGCAAGTAACCTCTCAGCACGTCAGAAGTACGGTTGTAGTAAGGGGAGTGGGATACTCTCCTCCTTAACTCCAAACTCAAAGTGTGGGGGGGGGGGGGGGGGGGGGCACTGAAGTAGCCCCCAGATTCGTCTGTGGCATCCACAGGCAGGGGAGGTTAAGCTTCCCTATTATCTCCCAAAACCAAGTCATCCTACATCTTTATACAAATTGGGAGGGCATTCTTTCCTTGAACATGTTATTGACTCCCTGGGTCCCTTTTGTGATAAGACAGCTCCCTTTACCAGTAATTGATAGGATAACAGCTTAAATGGGTCTGTCTACGGGCAGCGTGCCCATCAATGCAATTTGCAAAGGAGCACACTGTCGGATTGACCAACAGTGTTACCACATACCCCATAGCTGATATTGGGCCCTGTCACGGGGAGACTATTTTCATACTTATCAAGGCACGGGGTGACTGTGCCTATTGTGTGGATTATATTCATTTAAGGGGGATATTGACCTCCCCATTTATCCACCTCTGGAGGGCCGACATCCGTCTGGCCGACTTCAAGCGCCAACACCTAGGCGGTTTCCCATCATCGGACTTCTTCCTGGCCATAACCAGGCCCCAGGAGGGGCCTTCATAAAACGGGGAGGAGTGTGGTGAATTTCGGGAGAGTTATCTCCCTTGGACCGTGGACCGCATCCCTGTGACGCATTGGCGCGGTCTCTTATACTTCTTGAAACACATCGAACAACACGTGAGTGATTTTCCTCCGCCTTGCTATTTGATTTCAGGAGCTGAGAGCAGTTACAACTACTTGTTGTGACGGTGTGTGAAATACACACACCGAATTCACGACACCTTCTTATGAAATATACCGATTCAAATTTTGCTGAAATTCACTCCCTAAGAGTAAAAAATATAAATATGTTAAAGAAATCCTCAATCGTCACCTGACAGTCTAAAACTCTCAATTGACCCAGATCAGTGCTGTAATTTTACCGCACGCGCGGCATGCACAAGGCCAAATGTAAAAGAAAAAGATGCATGCAAAAGGCATGACAGGCACGAGGTATCAATACCGTTATATATAACAACAACATATAGGTTGGAATACTACACTTGCATCATACATGACCTTTGAAAACAATTATTTACTTATAGTATTGCTGTCGTGTCCGCTAGTTGAGTCCGACATGGCACATGACGGCGTGCTATTGTTGTTATCTTCTCTGCCTCACTTTCGAAACAACCACGTGACATATATAAATAGATCTGCGCGAAATTTACGCGGGGCTTCCCCGAGATTTCAGTGGTCAAAACTGGACATTGCAAGCAGAACTCGACCATCATATTGCCGTGGTATAACTTTTGGAAGGCCAAAGAACGCATTTAGACCCATTTATTTTGTATTTTTTCCCCCGACTAGCCCCTTTAAATTATAATTAGACTGCCAATAGGTTACATAATTTAGGAATCTCAATTTATACGGAATGCATAAATATTCTGCTGCAGTTAATAATTTTCCTTAGATCCAGAAATATTCATCCAATTTAGAGAGTGTGCTAAAAGAAAATCCATTATCAGTGAGTAATTGTTTATTTAGAGCATTTGGCTTGGCATTATACGGTCACGTTCTATTCATGAGATAACCTTAGTGTTTCTATGTCATTTTCCTACCAGATGAAAATAATATGAAAGTATCCTTTTTTATGATGGATTAAGAATACCAGTACTTTGAATTTGTTCAGACATATTGTGTCAGTAGCTGAATTGTATAATATCTAAACATTCACATTTAATTGAAAAACAAATTAACAAATATATATTTTTTTTATTTATTTATTTAATAACATGCTCAAATCCAATAGCAAGTATAGTACAGAAAATGTTTGACACTAATGTTTTGGTATATAGCACTAGTCTAAGTATACATCAGGGGAGACGGGGAATCCATAGTGTAGAGTTCGAAGTCATTTTCAATCTCTTGAAAACATGAGGTGAAATCTGCATACAGATGTTTCATCATAATCAATATCACTGTTGCAGAAAGTCGCCGTCAGATAAGACAAGAGACAAGTCATTATTGTTTCAGAAAGTCACCGTCAGATATGACAAGTCATTATTCAAGTTCACACTAAAAGTCCTATAGAACTACATCACCAAGTCCTCAAGCTAAATCACCAAGTCCTCAAACTAGATCACCAAGTCCTCAAGCTAGATCACCATGCAAGTCCTCAAGCAAGATCACCAAGTCCTCAAGCTAGATCACCAAGTCCTCAAGCTAGATCACCAGGTCCTAGAACAGACAGAGTAAGCTATGGTCAGCGTGGTGGCTAGATCATCCTCCTCGATCTGCTGATGGACGTGGTCAGGCTGTGGAGGGAGGGGCAAGGTGCTGCTGTCTATAGCAAAGGTATCAAGGATCAGGTTAGATAACTCACGGATCTGGTTCCACTTAATGACACGGTACTGATGGAAGGCCTGTCTCACACCCTCCACTACAGACTTCCTACTGAGGAGGTGTAGTCTGAGCCCCTGGTGGCCCTCTTCATGGGCAGAAAATATCTTAGCAGTAAGGGTGCTGAGCTTGCTGTCTGGAAATAAAAACAATGAACATCTCAGAATTTTGTAATCGATATTCCACACATATGTGTATATAAAATGATGTATCTTGCTTTGGATAGAAGAGATAAAGTGTACGAAATATGTTTGCTTGTTGTGAAGACCTCTTTTTACTTCATTTTAAAGACAAAACCCATGATTGACCATTTTATTAGATTACATTATTAATGTGGTACCAAGTCTAGTAATTACCTACCTATGAGCTGGATCTGTGTGAATGCCTTATCATGGGCAATTAGAAGTGTCTGCAGTTCTAGGGCCAGGCCAGCAATTTCCTTGTGGTCCATGATCACTATAAGTCAGGTGCTTTGAGTTTGGAATAGGTAGTTTCTTCGTTTGGATATCAGAGGGATTGTATTAGCCACAGTAAATCCCCCTGGTTTTATCATGGCTTTATTTTAATTTGAGTAACTTTGAGCAACTCTGACCTCCTCCATATCTGTGTCTCTGAGGACATTTACATTCGGAGGGGTAGATCAAAGGGTCCTAATTAAATTGTTATTATTAATATATGAGAACACAAAGGAGAAGCCACTTGACCAATTATAGGTTAATCCCTTTGGTATTGTTAGAAGATAGAGGTAGAACAAATAGCTGTCTGAGAGGAATTATCAGCGAAGCCTTACTAGTCCCAGGTGTATTTATCCAAGCATTCATTACCTACCTGTGAAATTCACACCTTTCTTTTGTTTAGGTTAAGGTGTAATTACACGCAATTATACACATGTAATTTTTTCTCATTAAAAGTGTGATTAAAAAAATTGGGAAAGAAAACATACTTTATTAAAAGATGATATTGATTGATTGCTTGATTTTTTTTGTCAAATTCGAAAAATCATATTTATTCAACAAATCGATGTTTTATAGAGGATATTTAATGGTGTCGTCAGTAATAACAAACATTAGCCACACGAGTGAAATATATTTGTTATTACTGAAGACACCATTAAATTTTCTATTTATTACATTTGCATAAAATATGAAAAAATGTAATGCATTAAAAAAGGGCGGGAATGACGTCAGTATAATTATATAATTGTGACCGGGCGGAATTCTGTGCTGGGTGCCTTCGGCATGGTATTTCAGTGTGATAGCACTATAAAGGTTGGCATCATATCCGCGCTATCACAATGAGGTAAGCACGCCAACATACCTTGCCTCCTGCATACACACACACACACACACACACGCAAGCACGCATTTTCCTGATATAATAACTCTTATTTCACAAGCAGCAAATGTATTTTTACTTCGCAGCGATTTCTAGAGCAATACCCTAAATAATTATGAACTGCTATTACCATTTTTAACGTATAGCAAATGACAAAGTTAATCATTTATAGGTGTTTTATTCGTGTATAATAAATAACAAGACATAAATATTCGTCTATCGTCGTCCTCCAAAGTTGGCATTGATGGCATTAGGATCAAAGCTTCCTGCTGCGCTTGCGCCGCTGGAACTGCTGCCACCAAATCCACTTCCTCCAAATCCTCCACTACTTCCACTACTGCTATCACCCCCGGTACTGCTGGGTAATAAAAGGATCGCATGTTTGATCACGTGCAAGAGTCATTACTAGTAGAACGTGGATCACAATTGTATACTGAATCAGTTTAATCAAAATCAAACAGAAATAGTACAGTCACTTGTCTTTTGAAGTGTTATGGCTGGGAAACAAACAAAACAGAATAGAGAACAAACACCTTCTGGCTATATCTGTTGTATAATTACCCCTCAATCTCAACACTTGACATATCATCTTGAAATAACAAAAGCTAAACAAGAAAACAAACCTGCTTCCGAATCCACTTCCGCCGAATCCACCGCTGCTGCCACTGCTGCCCCCACTACTACTATAAATAAAAGTAACTTGTAAGGTTAGTATTCATTTCTTTTTTAAGTAATAACCAAATCATGTAATAATGAACCTTTCTCCGTCAAGACAAATGGTCACACCTGCTTCCAAATCCACTTCCGCCAAATCCACCACTACTGCCACTGTCCCCACCGGAACTGCTTCCAAATCCACTTCCGCCGAATCCGCCACTGCTGCCACTACTGCTATAAAAAGAAAACACTCGGTAAGTATAACACACAGTCCCTTGGAATGTCATAACAAAATTGCGAATGAATATTTTGATATTTTTATGAAGATATGTAGGCTCACCTGCTTCCGAATCCACTTCCACCAAATCCACCGCTACTTCCACTACTGCTCCCACTGCTGGTAATTGGTAAGTAGGGTAATATTTAATCTCTATGTCGTATATTACAAAACTGTTTGTGTTTCAGTTGCCAAATTTTCACTGGAACTATAAAATGGTTTCTTTACTATACAAAATAAACATGTATGTAACCTTTCCAGTTTTGATCAAATGTTGAAAGATTTCCAGAACTGTTTACATTAGTTAAACATATTATGAATAATGAAAATGAAAGTAGAATTAGAAATGTGATATAGTCAATTTTATAGCTGCATGACTTTAGATGATGTATCATTGGCCTATAAATAATGAGTCTACCTATAATGGTGTCCTTTTGGGAAGTATTTTCACCTATATTGTATAATACTAAAGATTCATTGTATACCACTTCACTGATGAACATACAGGTTGTCACATTAAAAGGCTAGTGCATGCACCTGCTTCCGAATCCACTTCCGCCAAATCCACCACTACTGCCACTGCTACCACCGGAACTGCTTCCGAATCCACTTCCGCCAAATCCGCCACTGCTGCCCCCGGAACTGCTTCCGAATCCACTTCCGCCAAATCCACCACTACTGCCACTGCTACCACCAGAACTGCTTCCGAATCCACTTCCGCCAAATCCACCATTGCTTCCACTACTACCTCCGCTGCTGAAAGCAAGGATGAGATATTAAGCCTATACATACATTAATCATTAGATTTATGTATACTTTTCTATCATATATTATATTTTATTGAAGGAATGTATTGTCAAAGAATATCTAAGGAGATATTTGAAAACATTGATATGATACCTGCTACGGAATCCACTTCCACCAAATATGGCAAGCCAAGTTGTCATTTAATCATGGAGCAATGGTGAACCAGTACTTAACAAAATTATATCAGATATCGTATATATTATATAAGATATCTTATAAACATATAAGATATCTTATTTAAAGTTTATGAGATATCTTATATCTTTTATAAGATATCTAATTACATTGTATATCTTTTATAAGATATCTCAATTAGTTTTCTTTTTCATTTTCTATAAAAGATATATGATATCTTATAAAAGATGTAAGATATCTTATATAATATGTAAGATATCTCTTTTTTTTTATAAGATATCTTATATTTTTTATGAGATATCTTATATAATACATAAGATATCTTATATCTGTTATGAGATAGCTTATATTATATAAAGGATATCTTATAAAGATAAGTATATAAGATATCTTATTAAGTATATAAGATATCTGATTTAGTATATATAAGATATCTGATTTAGTATATAAGATATCTTATAAAGTATGTAAGATATCTTATAAAGTATATAAGATATCTGATAAAGTATATAAGATATCTTACATAATTTGGTTAAGTACTGGATCAACATTGCTTCCTGAATAAATGACAACTTGACTTGCCATAACCAAAGCTACCAGAGCTTCCGCTACTGCCTCCGCTAATGTATATAGCAGTGGTACAACATGAGAAGGTAGGTGGAAAGTTGAGCTTCATTGTGTTATCTTTGATCGATACGTATGCAAAATGAAAGATTCGTTATCAGTTTTAGTTTAAGCTGTTACATTTAACCTGACGACAGAACTACTTCTATCGGATCCTGACCCGCTGTATATAAGATACGTTATGATGAATTATGTATCACAGTACTACAATTATAAGGCTTTTACACATTATCAGACTAACATCTGTTGTATCTGTTGAAACGTGGACCTGCTTCCGAATCCACTTCCGCCAAAACCTCCAGTACTACCACCGGAACTGCGTCCGAACATTTTGGAAATTAATGTAAATTGAAATGAAATGTTTTATCGAGAAAATGCTTCTTTTTAAATTTTGCGATAGCTGTTTACGACACATTGTATTTGAAATATGCAAAATGGTATCGTAAATGAAACGTGAGATAACAGTGTTTAAAAGTATACTCCCGCCAAATCCACCTCTACACTGTTATGAAGGAGCACAAAATGTCTTATTACTGAATTTTATTTCAAAACTAACATCCGTTTTAAACAGAGGTCATAAAATATTTACTAATAAACTGTTTAGATCGCCATTCACTGCAAGGGGTGATTTTTTCTAAATAGATGTTCCAAGTATCATACAAACCTGGTCCCGCTACTTCCGAAGCCGGCGGCGTTAGGATCGAAACTTGCTCCCCCACCGCCACTGGAACTGCTGCCAAACCCACTTCCGCCAAATCCTCCGGAACTGCCTCCGCTAGAGCCACTGGTGTTCAGCGGGAATAATAGAAAAAACATATCTTAACTGCATATCACATAATAGATTATTGAAATCCGCTATTTTCAATTGGACATAAGACTCTTAATTAAACTTAATTCCATTTGTGACAGCAAATTGTAGACCTTTTTGTTTTCATGGTAGAGTATAAGATCACAAACCTGCCGCCAATTCCACCACTAGTGTCGAACCCACCGGAACTACCTCCAGCACTGCTGCCGAACCCTCCGCCACTGCTTCCAAAGTTGGCGTTTATCTTATTTGGGTCAAAGCTGGCCCCACCACCGGAACCACCGCTTAAGGCGCCAGCACCACTGCTGCTACTGCCATCACTTGTCCCAAATGCCATTGCATTGGGGTCAAACGTTCCGCCTTACAGAAAAAGAAAAGGACGTATTTCCTTCAAACGTTATTTCTCTGATATCAATACAATACGCCTGTATTAATTATATATTTCTAACGAATCAGAAAGCATGAGTTTATTGCGCGGACGAATGTATTCACGAGTGCGCGGAGCGCACGAGTAAATATATCCGTCCGTGCAATAAATGAGTGCTATCTGATTCGTCAGAAAAACACATACCTTCCATATTTGGTAGAGATCGATACAAAGATTTTATAAACTTTGATATTTTTTGCAAATACCGGGAACATTTCAGTTCCCCATGACAAGGAGATTTCCATACAAAGCAGTTTCGACTAGTAGGTAAATACAACATTCCGTATTGCACATGTGCAATACAGAACGTTGAATTACTATAACAAGATTCAACAGGTATGTGATAAAAGCCGACTTAACCACCATTCAATAGCGATGACATACCATTCCTTTTTTTTAGTTTTTACCTCTTTCGGTGAGCTTTCTAACTTTCTAAGTAGAACTGGCTATTTTTTTCCTAAATTAGTTGAACCAGTATCCTGTTACGTAATCAAATCATAGTTTGTACAAAAATAACTTATCTGTTTTTTATAAATTGCATGTTAATCTTTACAAATCACTTTATATCAAGATATATTATCAATAGTATCTGCTTGTATTATTTGGATATAAAAAGAAGATATGATGCGACGTAGCCAAGACTTTACCATCGGAAACGACGAAGGCTGGCAGTAAGAGAAGACAGAGACAGGTCCAGACCTTCATTGTGAACTCTTGGACACGGACTGACCAACGCAGGCAGGGTCAGTCCTATCAGTCGTGTCAGACTGAACCAAAGATAAGGGTCATTTTGACTGAGGACACAACACCTGGCTGTTCGTATTTCATAAACCTGCGTAGGATCGTGTAATAAACCTTAGTATTCAGAGATGTAAAAGATAAAGCAACACTATCTATATCGTTGTATTATTATTTTGTTTTTAAAATTATGGATATCGCAAATTAAACAAGTGTTTGAAAAATTGTAACGTTGTAGTAGACGGGATGACTTCATGTCTGCAAAAAACAGCATCTGTAACAAACGAGTACAAAGAAGTTAGTTGTATGTTAGAACAATTCAACAAATGTTATTATTCCCAATGGTCGAAATATAACATCAAAAGACACGAAATGATTATCTACATTTCAGATACTGATAGTTGTGTGAGATGTAGATCCCAATCGAAGATCTTAGAACTCAGTTGACATTAGACTTCCCAGTGGCTAATTATGACTATTACAATAGACATTATTTCCTGTTCTAGAAATACCCTATGTCAAGATACGGTTGCTAGAAGATCCAGATACGGAACGCCAGTCAGAAAGAGAGAAATCAGTAAACCGAAAAAACAAACAAACTCGTTCATAGCTTTCGCGAGAAAGTGTAACATGTATTTGTTATGGAGTTATTTTTGTTTTACTAACCATTTTAAGGTACATGTTATAAAGTTGTGTAGTGAGCTGGTCATGAATTTAAAAGTACATGTTACGGAATTTGGTTGGAAGATGACCATTTGGCCTGTATGAAAATTATGTTAAGTCTCAGGTAGTAAGGTAAATGTGAAGTTTATAGTAAGATAAAGTAATATTCTAAGATTTGGTTACTAAAACCAGAGACGTATTTAATAAGTTACGTCTCTGCTAAAACTTACAAAATACATGACAATATCATCTAATGAAGCGGAACATTTGCGCGTTGGGGTTCTTCATTAAAAACTCTTTTGAATTGAGGAGGTGGGCTTTCAACGTGAGAAAAAAATCACGATTATGTTTATAAATAAATAGTTCTTTTGTTTATTTGCAGTTCGCTCCATACAATGTTTTTGGATGAAAAACTAACGTTAAATTGAATTGTTAAAAGTAACCAATTTTACAGCCAACACATCAATAGCTCGACCGGACAATTTGATTATTTTACATTGTTTTCTGTTATCAGTGATTAAATAAGAGTGTGAAAGAAGTTACAAAGAGACGTTCATCACATTTTGTCTCCGTTATCCCAACGTCCTCATAGTAACTTTTGGCGGAGAGGATAACGTGCGAAGGGAAACAACTCTAGCTCTGTTTACAAATAGTCACTCTTCAAGCAGGAGGTTGGAATGTCATTGTCTTGATTTTAACTAGAATCATCTACTAGAAAATAAAATACACGTTGCATTTGAATCAAAAGGAAATGTAAGTATTTATACTCTTGTTTGTTTCGTTGAATTAGTGCTCGTGCTTCTCCTAGATGACTTCCGATCTGATTCTATTTCTTTAAAAGTCGATAGTTTTATTTTCTACGTACAAGCGTTTAGGACAAAGCTGTGAAATATATTTGTTTCGACAAGGCTTCAAATGACAACAGCATTATCGTCGCACTAAATATTGATCATAACGCAATGAAACAATATCTTTTAACATTATTCAAAAAAGTAGTTTCTTACCACCAATTCTTTAACTAGAAGGTCTGCTGGACTTTTTGATTTCTGTAAAAGATTTGCATTGATTAAGTTGCTTTACAAGCGTCAGATGTAGGGAATTTCCCTTAAGCTCAGCGGTAGAGCACCGGACTGTATAGCGGGTTCGAGCGCCAGCGACGTCACTATTCCTCATCCTACTACATTTACAAGAAGCTTTATTTAGTGTCGTATATGGCATAACATTTCAATAGAGAGTCTATGGTAACATAGTTATACATAGTTAATTCCCTTTTCTTTTCTATGTATTTGCTGTAAGCAAAGTTATAACTAAGGTAGTTAAGTAAAAATAGTATTGAATTACTGTAATTAGATGAAAACATTTATCATGGTTTTTTAACAGATGGCTGATACAGGCAGTGGCAGTACTGGTGATAACACTAGTAATGGTGATAACCAAACTCCACCCCCTCCTCCACAGCCACAGAGCGTCATGGTAGGTGCTGATGCGAGAGCTATACATAAACCACAGATACTAAGCTCAATGTGAAACAAAAGTACCATACATATACTAGTCTTGCATCTCAAACGATGATATCATATCCCACATGATTATACCATTAACCAGAAAATATGTCTACTGGATTGATAAATTAAAACATCTTCACTTGCTCACCACATTTGTCCAGAATTACTATACAAAACTCTTTTTAAAGCAACTGCTAGAGAAAGTTTTTTGTTTCAAATACTATCAACACCTATTTGTTGTTTTCAACAATTCATAATAGTAACGTTAGTGCTGGAAAATTCGCCATGCTGTGACGAAAATGCCATATGACGTCATAAGATGTGACGTAAATAACGTCACCATAGCTTTCAACACAGTTAAAGCCTTCAAATATTTTGACAAGAGGAGGTATAAGAAGGGAAAAGTTATTTTATTAATCAAAACAGTTCTAAAATATCTTAAATCTTAAAAAGATGGCCTGTGCGACGGACATCTCGTCAACTAAACTCAATAATCTGAGGCCTGTTGGTTGTGATTTAGTATAAATGCATCACATACAAATTGAAAATACCCATATATTAATGCTAATTGCAGTTTCATGGTCGAGTGAGCCATCAATGCAAGTAAATATTTTTTTCTACGAGTGTACTTTGGTATATACCATGTATACTGACGACCCAATGCTTATGGAAATGACGCTCGGAAAGATTTGATAATTCATTTTTCATTTTCATGCAATATGTAGATTTATTAAGAAAACAATCAACCAGTATATTTTAAAACTATCGTTTGCGTCTAACATTAAGCCATCTTACAACTCTTGCTAGATTTATATTTGAAAAGAATTTACAAGTACATGTACTGCTGTACAATCCTATGATGATTAGGTCAAGAGACCGATAGTTACCAAAGACTGATTTTTACATGAAAAAGTAAGTTACATTTACAACACCTGGGGCAGTCTCTGTTGAATAAGTTTTCAAGCCCAAAAAATGAATTTGTCAGATATGTTTCCCGTTCACGTGCAAGACGATCAGAGATGCTACATGTATGTGACATTAGACGACTGTTGAAAGCCCTAGCACGACCCTTTTCATCCGTATCCGATGGGGGGAAAAAAATTGGCACCAATTTTGAAGTTTATATTTGTTAAGGACTGAGCCTTTATTGCGATGCATGTAAATTGACCTCACTTCAGCTGGTCCCAGCCATCTTACTCAAACAGCATTAATCAGTTTCTTTAAGTAACCGAAAATTATCTATCACAACTAACAAAATCCCTTTATTTCAATGTTAAACATTGTTACACACACACATTTAGAGCTGTTCGTATCAGTACAGCTTGTGTAACATAAACATATAAAAGTTTACATTTAAACACTTACATTACTTGCAAATAAGTGAAATGTTTGTATGTGGCGAAACTGCCTGCACCTTTGAGCAAAACCACGGAAGGTCTGATGACGTCACAAATGTTGCTGCGTGAAGTCATTCAGGCGTGTTTACAACAACGTTTATTTATAGGCTTTTCAGTCAAATCTTCTTCTGTACTGGTGCTCATTGGCATTTTAATACATGTGTATATGGACAAATTATGAACTGAACCCCTTACTAATGTGACGAATTTGCCTGCACTTACGTTAAGTGAAACAAATACCATCCTATTCCCAACAACTTTTCTTGAGTTTCTTCAGAATAAAATAATTAATTTTCCCAAAATAAAGAGCAGAACTAGGTAATTTCAAATTTTACTAATATTTATGGGGATATTTTACTTGTTTTTATTCCCTTTTCTATTCTATATGATGTACAATTTGTATTCCAATGTACTGTAAAAAATTTGAATAGAACAAAGCTTATACCAAGTAAAAGGAAAAAGGACAGCAACCCTGTATTGGTTCAGAGCATGATGAATCATCACGATTTGTTCACATTTATATAAAATGATATAATTTAGGCAATATCATCTCAATTATCTTGGTCCTTAAAAAAATATTTTCTTGTAGGGCTTCATGTTGTCAAATAAAGTAGAGGCTGGACTGTGGCTGACTCGGCTCTTCACCGTCATCTGTACCTTCTTTTTCTTTATTCCAATCATTGGGTAAGGTGGTAATGTATTTATTCAGGGACAAACAACTTAAACATAAAGAACAAAAATATTTGTTGAACATAAATGATAAATCATTTAAAGTCAGTTGCACTTTCTTTCAGTCTTTCTGACTGAAATATCTAACATGATAAATATAATAAATAGCTATGATCTTTGTGGTTTCTGCCTGAAAACATCTCATAATTTACTTATCCCCTTACAGCAGTGGCCCTCATGGATTCTACCAGAGGGCTCTAATCAGCAATGCTGCAACCAGCGCCCTGCGTCTACACCAACGGATACCAAACGTCCAGCTGAATATGGCTTTTCTGAAGACGTTGATGCTGGAGGACAGTTGTCACTATCTCTTCTTCTCCCTCATCTTCCTCAACAGTTCCCCAATTACCAGTATCCTTTACACCCAAACAATCTATAGACATTAGTCCGCCTGATTTCTTATCAGAAAAAAAATACATGTATTATGAGTATAATTTATATTTTTTGGAGAAAACAGAAAAGAAAGAATTTGATAATTGCAATACTGTTTAAAGTGAATTCCTTATCTGTACCATAGCTCACCTTGGATAACAATGGTTTTATATATTACATACAGAAAACCTACAGGAATCTTATTAAAGTTTTCATTGAAAAAGATTGCCCTCTTGTACATAACATTGATGCTTCTACAGCTTTGTTATAGAAGTAATTAAAATCAATGAAAGGGGTTCTGGCTTATTGACTTATTTACAGTAATTATGTGGTGATTTTTTCCTTAACCTTTACCCAGTGGCACTAATGCCCGTGTTCCTGTTTGCGTTGCTTCACGCCTGTAATTACACAAAGAATGTGCTGAATGTAAGTACACTCCACAAATAGTTTATCATCCATATGTTGGTATTCTCTGTGTTTTGAAAATGTAATGAAAAACAACTCAAAGTATTTTCTGTCGGGAAATATATATGACATATGTGTTTATATATATGTATATATCAGGAGAATTTCACGTTTCATTATGAGGGGTGGATGACAGTTCTATTTTCCTTCTAATGACAATTAAATGTAGTAAGGATTCAATAGCCATGTAAACAATGATATTCTGTCATATGTACTGAAACCTTTTCTTCATATTGATATGTGCAGGAGTGAAATGTTACACGATGTGTGACTTTTTAATGACTTCGTAGGCAAGGGTATGTTCTCTGTCACCATAAGGAAATAAAGTGTGTACACTTTTAAAAATGTTTTAGATGACAATCATATCAGCTAGTCAATTAAGCATGTATACACTTTTACTGTTAACACTGTTCAAGCTGATAATCAAATCATCGAAATTATTCACACTTTATTAAATTAGATAGCTGATGTGATTTCCATCTCCAATAATTGTTAACACATAAGTGACCAAACTCTTAAAGCATAACTTAATTATATTGTTGATTCAGTTGTCATCTCGTCTTAAACCATAACTAAATGATATTGTTGATTCATTTGTCATCTCGTCTTAAACCTAATGTCCATATACTAAATGATATTGTTGATTCAGTTGTCATCTCGTCTTAAACCATAACTAAATGATATTGTAAACCATATACTAAATTATATTGTTGATTCAATTGTCATCTCGTCTTTAACCATAACTAAATTATATTGTTGATTCATTTGTCATCTCGTATGTTTTTCTATGTACATGCATTCTACTGGTAATTTGTCTGATGCAGGTGACAGAGTTACAAATCCTACATTTTGAAAATCTTTTCTTAGAATGAAAGTTAGATTATAATAAGCTGATTTCATTGAAACTTTTGGAAAGTGATTCTGCACAAATAGCAATATTGTTATTTATAATACAATCATCTGTTTATTCAGTTGCTATTTAATTAGGTCATGAAAATCATGTGACTGTTAAGGCCCCTTCAGCCTCTTATTTAACACTTTGTTTGTAATAAAGTTTTAAAGAAATTAATTTGATCCAAACAATATTTTTTATCTTACGAGGATGAAATGTAGACTTACTGCTAACATTTCTTTGCCATGTTTTACAGATAATGGGCCCTAACTTTCTCCAGTTTGTAAGGAACCTGATCCAGAAGTTACAGAGCCAACAAGTCAGTGTGTTACGGTTCGTGGCCTGTACTGAGATCTTCATCATGCCCACCATTGTCTTCATGATGTTCACGTGAGTAGTGTCTCATCAGTACCATGGAGCCTGCACAGATGCTTCTGTAAAATGTTTGCTATTTAGCATGGAAAAGTGGCCTTTCCTGCTTACACAGTGAACAAACTGTAGTTCTAGTATTACTGCTGAAGTATTTGCATTTTAATCATTTCATTCAGATATCACCACAAAATAATTTTCAAATATTGTCTCAAACAGCAGCTTGTGAGTTCACTGTTTTGATAAGATGTGTATCGGATCCCCATGACTACTGTAACATCAGTTTTCACTACAGTTAGTTTGGGAGAGATTGACGTGATATGGATTTGTTTGTTATAACAGGAGTAATATATTGCTGACTTTGTTTATGATACAGATGTTGACTTTGTTTTACAGAGGAAGAAGCAGCATATTCCTGCCAATCATTTACTACAGATTCCTCATCCTTAGATACACATCTCGCAGAAACCCATACTGCAGGTAGGTTGTTCTTCTTTAAGTCACTGCTCATATTTTAAGGATTATCTTGTATAAAAAAAAACAAGCTGTGGTTTTCCTTAGAATTTCGAATAAAACAAAGATAGCAAAAAGATGTATGTGTTTGTCATTAAGGAATGTGTTCCCCACCCCTCACAACCTCCCAAATAGGTTCGTGATAATGACACCACACGTGTCCTGGTTATGACGGTCGTGACAATGACACCATACTGTCTGACAGGCCAGTGTACAGATTCATTAATTAATCAATCTTCATGTATTGCTTCCATGCCTAGGATTGCCGTTGAAGACAAAAATGACGGGTTTAGATCACTTACTTTACCATAAAAACCCATGTAATTTGCACACTTTTTTTTCAGAAATTTTATACCCAAAGTGGGGGGTGCGTAAAATACACAGGTATAGAAAATTTCAGGAAAAGATTGACGATTCTGGGAGATTGCCATCTTGGATTATTTCCCTTGGTACACGGAACTATAAGACAAATGACGATCAACAAATTTATTTATGTCAAACATTAATAAAAGATACAGTTGATACATAATGTGTTGTTATCTGAGTTTATGTGAAAAGTATTATTAAATAGGTAACCGTTAACTAAGCAGGCTTCTTCAGGACAATTTCAATAGCATACATCGTTAAAAATAGAAACTTGGGCGTGCAATTTATGTACCTTAGGGGTTAAAAGTTTGTAAAAATGTCCTGAGGTACATGTCAAAGGAGGTGTGCTTGTTGTTGTGGCTGACCATGTTGACTTTTAAGTTAATGTTAAATGATATGACATTATTGTTTATTTCATTTATCCCCAGGACGCTGTTCTCAGAGATGCGTATGACAGTGGATTACCTTACCAACAAGCCTCAGTGCCCAGGAATCCTAAGGACGCTATGTCAGAAGAGTATAGGGGTTCTCTACCGACTGGCACCCCAGATGTGAGCACCCAGCCCCTCATAACTTCTTAGTGCATGCAAGAAATTTTCTTGGTGGATGAAAGACAAATGATATATAAAAGTGGTGTAAGAGAAACATATTGGCAGATGAAAGATAATTTATTTGTGATAAATATTTATGAAATAAGTGGATAATGAATTTCTTAGAACAATTGTGTAAGTAATTTTATATGTGGAATCCAGATTCTCAGTTTCAATGTCAGTTATAGTCCATGTTTGATCTTAAATATGTTTCAACTTACATTTAAATGCCATGTTCAGCGAACAAAACTATAAAGAAGAGTAGGGATATATTGTACGAAGTGAACAAATATTGACTTCTCTGCTCCTTTAGTCATTTAAAACTTTTATGTTTAAAATTATATAGAAATTGTAAATGTATTTAGAAACTTTTGTTATTTGTGAAAAAATAGTTCAAGAACAATTCAGGTTATATTCTATTGAATTGAAATCAAGGCAATGAGCTGGTATACAGCGACCTGTTTTTGTTATTCCCTCTGTTAATTTCTGCACAGTTGGATGGGCATTTTGTGAATATGAGTTGTAACATCTAGTCTCCTGAACAAGTTTAACATTAGACTTGAAACATCTACAAATTGACATTTTCCCCTATGCATTCCTATTCCACATTTAATCAGAAAAACGGTGATGTACAAATTATATGTTTACTCCTAAACAGGTAGCATTGTTTTTATGGTACTTCTCCTAGAGGACTATTCCAGTAAAACATCTCTCCCACATATTGTTGAGGTCGGGTAGATTTTTATTGGAATAGCCTTATTCATGAATACATTTCAAATGTCAATAAAATTAAATATGTATGCATTTATTCATTATCAGAGACTCGTTATATTTATCTCACCTGAAAGGATCCCATTCTCGCCATTCACATTGATGCCAGTTTGTAATCATTGTGTTTTTTGTACTTTTGTAGTGTCATTATTTCCATAATGATGATTCTCTTTTAAAAATATAATATTAAATCATAGTTTTCGCCTTCAGTTTCCCGTATAAAACCTGTTTATTTAATTGCCTAATCATGATTACGTGAGAAATCTTGAAATGGACTTTAGCTTTATGGTAATGAACTAATTTTTTTCTGTATTATTGGGAGACATTTATATATATACATAATCCATAAGAATATTAACTGTGTAATCTTGTCTGTTGCTTGTTGTAATCATGTTTACAAATAAGTGTGTTACATCCTTATTGTCAAAGCAAAGGGCGAACAAAACTCTGTCAAGTCCAGTACGCAGTGCTGCTCAGTAGTCTTTTTCAAACTGTTTGTCAGTCTGCTACAGCGATCTCCTGAAATAAATTGTTGGTCATCTTGTATGTAGTGTAATTGATACACCTGGGCCCAGTTTTTCAAACAGTGATTAGCTTAATCAGTGATTAACACAAAATTTATTTTTTGTATATCTTTAAAACACAGCTATTAACCAAGTTTAAACTTTTGAGATAGCAAATATTTTAGAAGAGTAAACTACATGCAAAATTACAAGCTTTTACCTTGTATATTGTTTAAATTATTAGAGGTTGAATAAATGTCGTTTAACAGTGATTAAGCTAATCACCTTTTGAACATCTGAAACAAGTACAACTGCCTGATATAGGAATAATTGATGGGCAGGTTAACACAACCAGACATTTTGTTCTGAATAACTAATAGAGTTTTATTACCTCAATATTAATATTTATTATTTAATTTGAAGTTACTCAATACTCCTCTAACTTTCTAGATAAAGAAGGGTTTTACTGACCTGCCTCTCTGTTTCATCAGTAGTTGAGACCATTTTGATTTCCAACTGTTTGGCCCCTACCATCACCTATGAGTCCTGTAAGGTGGAAACAGCCGTATGATGCAGTGTAATGCATTTTTTGGCATGCTATATCTGTAACCAAATTTCAACCTTTTCACCCCTAGGTAACTTAAGTAGACTCTACCCTAAATTCATGTGGATGAGTCCATTATGGTCTACAGCAGTGAATGGGTTAAAGTAGCAATCACTGTTTGTTACGTTCATCCTTTAATATGTCAACAATGAACCTGAGTGATTGTAAGCACTCTGAGTGATTGTTAGCACGAATCATGTTCTCACATTATTAACGTCTAGTATTCAGGTTAATACTCCAGTCACGACCAGTTTGTATTAAGGACTATATATAAGGTGTATATAAGGACTGTATATACACGGTATAAGCCTGTTAGCTCTGGTTGCATTGTGTATACACTTTGTTTCACTGAGTGACTGGTCACTTTGATATTATTTACCTCAGATTTAAGAATTCACTCTAAAAGGTTATACATAACTCATTTCTATAACTTTACAAATCATTTGAAATGCTCTGCATTGTCACTACTGTAGTACAGAAACCCGAAGTCATCAGTGAGTTACGAGGCCCCAACTTTAGGTCATGATCATATTATTTCACTTGTCTGCAATGTTGTTCAGAATACTGTACGTGTACATATTTTAGCGGTAGTCTTATTTTAGCAATTTTCAGTTTTCATGCTTTAAAAATTGTGCTAAGACTAAAGTTATCAATGCGCCAATTCTTCAATGACTAACATGTTAACAAGTTGATTATGCGATATTAGGAATGCAGCTCAGAATTTTAATGTTTAGATCAACCAGGAAAGCTCCACACAGTTGATATAACACTTGAACTTTCATCAATTAAAGGTTAAATTGATTGGCAACTCATCATTGTTTGCCCCCTTAGATATGTTAGTTGTCATTAACCATCATTACAATAAGTGCAATATGTGTACAGTGCTATTTTGTATGAGGACGTAATACCTGGTTACCTTAATTTGTCCCAAAAAAATAAAGAAGAACATCCATAGAATTAGATGTTATCTAAGTCTCCGTGGTAATACATGTTTTTTTTTATAAAAAGTGTTGGCTAAGAAAGATTTCTAGTCTTTGTAAATGTGTAGAATTTGACTGCCGCAAGGTTTTTTTCAGTTTGAACCGTGTGCTTTTTATTGAATTTCATAAACATTTTAACAACAACTGAGCACAGTAGTTAGGTACTGACAGACACCAATTAAATGTCTCGTACATTGATGTGCTTTTTGTATCACCCTTTAGCACATGATAGTTGTTGGAAACAAAGGTTTACTGTATTTGAATTATATTTCCATTTTGTGTACGATAGTCTCCGCAAACAAGAAAATCTGTGTTTGAATGTGTCCCGTAAGTGACTTACATTAATGGATATATTATTTCATTTCGGTAGTTGAGAATAAATCACGGTAGTTTTTTTCACTATGAGTATTAGTTTGTAAAAAGAGTTACTTCCCTTTAACCATATCTAGAATATCGCGTTAAAAAGCATGATTAGACTGATTTCATTATTACCTATATCAGGTTGTTAAACTAATTGTACGTGTGCATTACGTCAGCGTCTGAGAGTGGTTACGTCAGAGTCTGTGTGGTACGTTAGCATCTGAGAGTGGTTACGTCAGAGTCTGTGTGGTACGTCAACTTCAGGGTATGATTAAGTCAATATCGGTTTGTGAATGTTGTTTTAGGAAACATCTTCAATATATCAGGTTCTAGGTATGTATTTCATTTGACGTTAACTTACTTTTCAGCTGAAACCTCATCTCTGTCTCCAGTCTTCACTTCCACGTCCTCTTCGTTTTGTCTACTTTTCTCTTTACAGTCGATTCCAATTTCACAAACCCTTTGGTAATATTTCCTCATCCAGTGTCAAAACGTGCCTATATCTTTACTTTTGCGCGTGATCTCTATATCGATGCTTCCTCTTCCTCCTTTCTGTAAATCTCCTTATTACCCTGCCTTGCCATCAGACCCATAGAATACCTTCAAGGAGCTACCTGGAACTGGATGTCATACCGTACAGCGAGATCTGCAGCCAGAAAGTGATTTGAGTCAAAGATGAAAAACATATCTAAAAATGTTACTTAATCTTTTTGAATACTGGAAATAATATGATGTTTGTGTCTTGTTTTGTGTAATTGATGATGGTATGTACAAGTGTTGGAATATAACGCTAACGTCTTGATATTTTGAAGAACAATAATTTCTTCATAATTATAGTAGAGTATGTTTCAGTTCTGTGATGTTGTAGTGTAAAAAGAAGACATGTTTTGGTGTACCGTATGTTCTCAAGACCACTATTCACACCTGTTTGGCACAGATAGATGTTGTGAGTTATTTACACAGATATTTGTATACTCATTCTGTAATATATCCACAACTGTGTATTATTACGTTTGTCACATACATAGACCAGGAAATTCAAGTTATCTTAAATCCGACCAGAACCAAACGACAATAACACAACATTGTATCTATTTCTTATCCAAAGTGGGTTTTTTCAGAAAAGAAAATTTGGATAAGAACTATTTTTCTCCAGGATGGATATTATCTTATTTGATGTTCATTGCCTGAACAGTGTATGGTATATTTAGTGGTTAATATGTATCATTGTATCATAATGTAGTTAGATGAGCTAGAGACTGTTGTTTGGTATAAACAGTATTTGATTTAATAAACACACTACGCTTGAAAGTGACGACATCTTTGAAACTTTAATATACACAGTAAAACTAACTACTGTTAATTACATGTACGTTCATTGACGATAACTTGGAAATTAAATGTTTGAATTCTCTCATTCGAAGATTTGGCAAATGATGTTACCAAACCAGTAATGGAGGTAGAACTATTATACAGCAATGGCATACATAATAAGTATGTATTTATTGTATTCATAGATTGAAGGTACCAATTGATAAAAGTTTAGATTAAATATTATATACTTGTTTTTGAAAATACTCCTATAAATATGTTTACTTAATGCATGATCAAAGATTAGGAAGGGTAATAATTACAGGATATAAGCACATTCATAATTAAAACGGGCCATAATATTTCAGAAAATGGTATACATGTACTTAATTTTAGAAACTGGCCCATTGGAATGGTTGGAAATCCTGAAAATGGCCTGTAGTGAGGTTCAATGCTCCTTATATGTGCATGCTATTGATATATAAAGTAATCGGTATTTGTTGAGATTATGTATTAATCAGAAAATGAAACTGTTCTATTCAGAAATAATCAATTATAAAAAAATGTTAAACGAGATAAGAACATACAAAATATGGTTCAAGTATGGTAATATTCCACATCAACTTTAAACCTAATCATCCTTTAATACAGTGATGTGCACTTGTGTTGTGCATAGTAACCACATACCTGTGCTGTGAGTACTTGACCTGTGTGGTGAGTACTGGTACCTGTGCTGTGAGTACTGTTACCTGTGCTGTGAGTACTCGTACCTATGCTGTGAGTACTGGTACCTGTGCTGTGAGTACTCGTACCTGTGCTGTGAGTACTGGAACCTGTGCTGTGAGTACTCGTACCTGTGCTGTGAGTACTCGTACCTGTGCTGTGAGTACTGGTACCTGTGCCGTGAGTACTGGTACCTATGCTGTGAGTACTGGTACCTGTGCTGTGAGTACTCGTACCTGTGATGTGAGTACTGTTACCTGTGCTGTGAGTACTGGTACCTGTGCTGTGAGTACTCGTACCTCTGCTGTGAGTACTGGTACCCGTGCTATGAGTACTGGTACCCGTGCTGTGAGTACTCGTACCTGTGATGTGAGTATTGTTCCCTGTGCTGTGAGTACTCGCACCTATGCTGTGAGTACTGGAACCTGTGCTGTGAGTTCTCGTACTTGTGCTGTGAGTACTGGTAACTATGCTGTGAGTGCTGGTACCTGTGCTGTGGGTACTCGTACCTGTGCTGTGAGTACTGGTACCTGTGCTGTGAGTACTGGTACCTTTGCTGTGAGTACTTGTACCTGTGCTGTGAGTACTCGTACCTGTGCTGTGAGTTCTGGTACCTGTGCTGTGAGTACTCGTACCTGTGCTGCGAGTACTCGTACCTGTGCTGTGAGTACTCGTACCTGTTTGGTGTAACTGTTTCTTTAATGTGAATATCAGTATCTGTTCCGTATGTAACCTTGTATAAAACATGTCACCTTTTGGAGTTGTGCTTTTTTTTCCTTTCAATTTGTTAATAAAACAAGTCTGACTACTGACTGCTCTCGATGTTGTTTCTCACGACGAAGGCGAGTTGTCTCCCGTAGACCATACGCATGTCTGTATAATACTTTGTACCGCGCCCGCTGTAATTGGAACAAAGTACTCGCCATGATTTTTCTCCGTGCTTACATTAAGGATTTCATAAAATGCAGACATTTATATTGACAAATAGATATTTTATAGCTATCAAAATCGATGTTACTAATAAATCATGATGGTTGACAATAGTAAGGTAAGAAGCTTCAACAGCTAAAAATCCTACTCAGCATCAAGTGTAAAACACACTGGCCGATTTCTGTAAAGAAATGATATTGGGTCTGAACATCAGTCGATATTAACAAATGCAATTAACGTTGCTCATTTTTCGTTCCTGATCACATTGGATTGCTAATTCCAAATGTATCGACATGAAATGTTTACATAATTGGACAAGGTTCCTTCGTGCTTCATTATGTTATATAGGTCAAACACTACCGAAACTGACTGTTTACCTCCATCCGGTATGTCTGCGATTAATCAACGAATCGAACTCGACAATGAATCGTTCTAATCAACGTTATTAACACATTCATTAATCCCGAAATATTTAATTGAGCGATGTGTATAACAGTATTAGTTTATCTTCCGGAGGTGGTATACAGCGGGAAGGAAAACTCAAACTGGAAATCAAGATATCAGAAATCAAAAGGACTAGATGCAGATTAGAAAAGTGTAATTCCAATTATTGAATATTAAAATATGTTGTGTGTGCTCAAAGTATTGTTATCAATCTCACAAAAAAAAAAAAAAAAAGTTCGTGAACCTATTAAGTAGGAAGATCAATCCTAACAATATAGAGGGGATATACTCTGGTAATTGATCCTGTACAATATGTACCACCCGTCACATTTATATAGCGCCCTATATCGTTTGTAAAGTTATTCTAATGCGCTTTACAACACATGGATAATATTATTCCTGCATTGACGGTTATATATAGCAGATAAAAAAGACATACAAAAAAAACACTACATTAGATGATGTATGCTGCCTTACACACCAAAGTAGGCAACATTAGATGATGTATGCTGCCTTACACACCAAAGTAGGCAACATTAGATGGTGTGTGCTGCCTTACACACCAAAGTAGGCAACATCAGATGATGTATGCTGCCTTACACACCAAAGTAGGCAACATTAGATGATGTATGCTGCCTTACACACCAAAGTAGGCAACATTAGATGATGTATGCTGCCTTACACACCAAAGTAGGCAACATTAGATGATGTATGCTGCCTTACACACCAAAGTAGGCAACATTAGATGATGTATGCTGCCTTACACACCAAAGTAGGCAACATTAGATGGTGTATGCTGCCTTACACACCAAAGTAGGCAACATTAGATGGTGTATGCTGCCTTACACACCAAAGTAGGCAACATCAGATGATGTATGCTGCCTTACACACCAAAGTAGGCAACATTAGATGATGTATGCTGCCTTACACACCAAAGTAGGCAACATTAGATGATGTATGCTGCCTTACACACCAAAGTAGGCAACATTAGATGATGTATGCTGCCTTACACACCAAAGTAGGCAACATTAGATGATGTATGCTGCCTTACACACCAAAGTAGGCAACATTAGATGATGTATGCTGCCTTACACACCAAAGTAGGCAACATTAGATGATGTATGCTGCCTTACACACCAAAGTAGGCAACATTAGATGATGTATGCTGCCTTACACACCAAACCGTGATTTGTGTAAGTGTACAGGTAAATAAAGCAAATGATAATAAATACATTTCTAAGGGCATTTTTTATCATTCGCTACAAGTACCTGTGGTTAGAGTCAGGTATATATGTATCTTTACATATATGCATTGTAATAGGACATATGTTTTAGACAAATACGATATTTCACACTCCTGATGTGATGGCGATACCACTACTTAACGGGCAACGAAAAACCCGATGAAGTTCTCAATCGATCGCTGCGAATTTGAAACATTTTCTTATTTTAATAAAAAAAATAAAAATCATTTGATACATCAAAATGAACCAAGAAAGTGTAATAATGTGAAAATGCCAGCTTCAAATACACGCTATCACTATTCATAATGTGGTGACAGACTTATATTAGCAACAAACTAAATAAATCCAACATAATCAATCTCCCATGAACTTGAAGTTGATTTAATACATTTTTTTGGTCCTTATGAAGACTAAACTGTAGTGATATAGTGATCTGTTAGGACACTAACGCTCTCGTGCTGTACATTGGTGTAGTGACCAGTGACCGCTTTCTTGTCCAGACTGGCCCTTTACCGCTAGATTTACAGAATGACCGTCTGGCCATACCACCTATTTAGGAGAGTGTATTAATTGTTCTGACCATATTTCCGTCTGTCGGTTGAGATTGACCACTGATAGACATGCGATGTTGGCTGTACGTCACGGTGGCTGGACCGGGATCTGTCGGGTGGCGACTATACCTAACGTGATATACAGCCACTAGTATTAATGTATGTGGTCGTATTGGTCAGGCAATGATTACAGTAATATCTCAAGATTTAGTCTACGTGTCCTGGTGGTGAGAAACCTATCATCTCTGCAGATTTGCTCTGATTTGTATTGTGTTCGATATTTTACTCTTATACATATTCGTATTGTTTCAGACTTTCCAAATCAGATCAGATTTGCCATTGACTTTGTATTTGTCGAAACTGAACTTATATCTGACATTTTCTGTTTACTTAACTCTCCTTAAATCTGAAATTTTATTCCGATTTTGTATAACCTGAGTGAAACTTGTTTTTAAATCTGATTTTTAGCTCACCTGGCCCAAAGGCCAAGTGAACTTATGCCGTTGTGCGGCGTCCGTCGTCCTGCGTCAATGTTTTACTTTTAACAACTTCTTCTTAATAACCAAAAGGACTAGGGTGATGATATTTTACCAATAGCATGCTAGGATGAAGGTCTACCAAGTTTGTTCAGATGAATGACTTTGAATTATATTCAAAGTCACAAGGAGCAAATATGTTCAAAATCTTTAAACAACTTCTTCTGAAGAACCAAAAATGCCCAGAGAGATAATATTAGGCCAGTAGCGTGCTGGGGTAAAGGGCTATTAAGTTTGTTTAAATGAATGACCTTCACTCATATTCAAGGTCACAGGGGTCAATTGTCTCAAATAATACCTTAAAACAACTTCTTCTGAATAACAAAAATGCCCAGAGAGATAATATTTGGCCAGTAGCATGCTGGGGTGAAGGGCTTCACAGTTTATTCAAATGAATGACTTTTTGAATTATATTCAAGGTCACAAGAAGCAAATATGTTCAAAATCTTCAAACAACTTCTTCTGAATAACCAAATTGCACAAGGAGATATTACTTGGTCAGTAGCATGCTTAAGTGCAGGGTTACCAAGCATGTTCAAATGAATGACCTTCATTCATATTCAAGGTCACAGGGGTCAACTGTCTAAAAGAAACCCGTTAAACAACTTCTTCCGAACAACCAAAATGCCAAGGATGTTGATATTTTGGTCAGTCGCAGACTAGGATGAAGCGCTTCCAAGTTAGTTCAAATAGATGACCTTGACATTTGTTCAAAGTCACAGGGGCCAATATGTTCAAAATCTTTAAACGTCTTCTCCTGAATAACCATGTGGCCCAGCATGTTGATATTTAGCCAGTAGCATGCTTTGATGAAGGACTATCAAGCTTTTCCATTTGCATGACCTTTACTCACTTTCAATGTCACATTTGGTCAAATATGTATGAACATATAAATGACCTAATTTCAATAAACAAAAGGATAGGGTGGTGATAGTTTGCAAGTTGCATGTAGCTTTATTTTAGATCGCTTTTAAGGTTACAAGTGTGGGATTTATACCAGGTGAGCGATGCAGGCCTATTGAGCCTCTTGACTTGTTTTTTCATGTGATGCCGTGTTAAGTTTGTCGTGGGGTGTGTTTTCTGTGATGGAGACACTGATGAGTTTTGCCACCCTGGTGTATTTTGTGATACTTTTGCTACCATGTTGTTCTTTATCCCTCGCTATGTTGACACTGGGTTGTATTTGTATAGTTTGGCTATGTGTTTTTGCGTTGATGGTATATTTCGGTTTGCGACTGTGGTAATTGTCCATGTTTATAGACCATGATGACGTATGTGATCTAGCGCTGTCCTGGGTTTGGGAGGAGACAACATGACTGTTGACACATATGGTGAAGGAGACACGGACCCTATACAGTACGTTGTTTTACCTTCGTGTGTGTCGTCGGATCTTGCTATTGTCGCTTTGTATCAAATTTGATTTCCGATTTATTCGTATGTGTTGACATTTTTTAGCATATTCAAGAATATTCATCATCAGCTACA